TGGCTCTCTTCATTCTTTTCTCTAGTCATTTTAGCAGTTATTGATGTCTTTGCCTGCAATAACTATTATTTTTGTGTTTGTCTAGTGGCAATTTTCTACTTCCTTCTTTCTTTCAAATGGAATTCAACTATAATGAAGAGTTGCATTTTCTCTTCTGTATATTTATTAATTTAATTATCTCAATCTGATTCAGTATTTATTTTATTCCACCAAAGTTCTGTGTTTTGAAGGCTTGGTTTCTAGTACAGTGCTAGTGGGAGAGGCTGGAACTTTTATGAAGCGGGGCCAAAGTCACTGGGGACATGTCCTCAAAGGGATCCCTATCTCTTCCTTATCCTCTGTCTTGCTTCCAGGATATAACGTAAGTGGTTTGCTCTGCCATGCTCTCCCACCATAATGCACCAGCAAAGCCCTAAAGCAAGAAGCCAAGAATCATGGACTAATGACCATAAAATTCTCAGCCAAAATAAACCTTTTCTCTTTTATAAGTTGATTATTTCAATTATTCATTATAAGTGATAGAAAGCTGACCAACACAGAGCTAAATTCAACTATTTTTATTTTCTTTCATTTCAGTTTATTTCATCTTATTGCTGGAATTTTTCTAGTTTAGATGATTTTAGATGATTACTGAAGCTCCTTCCAGTTGGTCCAGTGTCATTTTAGTAAGTGTCTAGCCTTTCAGATACTTACTTATTTTTTGGCATCACAAGATGTTCCAGGATCAGTATGTATTTTCCCAGTGTCAGGTGTGGAAGTGATCACCCATGCAGGGAGCCTAATTCCTTTTACTGAAGGGTGGTGTTTAGAAAAGATCTGGGTCATGTCAGCAGACAGGTTTAGGAGATGTATGTATAGATGATGCTATATTTACAGGGTTTTTAAAAAAAAAATATATATATATATATATAATCTTGAAATTTGATAGGCTAATTGTATTTTTATTATCTAAAAGGAATTTCTATTGGGGCATTTGAAGGCAGTGATTTTTTAAGTGTAGTCTTATTGTGTATCAATTGCATAACAAAGTTTTTAGGAACATCTGGAAATTCATGGGCACTAACAGGTGACTGAGATTTCTTCCCTTTGTTCACATACCCCACCAATGGTAAACTGTGTAAGGTGTGTATTCATTTCCTCTACCAAGACAAGGAATGCAGAAAGTGCTTTCTTTATGTCATTCTCCAAATTGTATTCCTTTTCTTTTGTTTTTGGTGCTTTCAGATGGTAACTTCAGTCAAAACCAGAGACACCTAGTGGGCTCAAAGAAACCAGTTTTATAGTGAAAGGATAAGCAACTGTCTTTAGCAAACACTTTTCATAAAGAACAGGCCCTGTAGGCTGCAGATGGACCTCAATGTGCCCACTCCACAAATGGTTAGGTTAAGCAGCGCCCACCATGGAAAATCATGCAAAGGGAGCTCTGCTCCTCATGTTCCCTGGAGTGCTCCCTCACTTTAGAGTTTCACTCATTGTGTGATTACCAGCTACTTTTTCTTTTTCTTTTTTTTTCAGTACTAAAAACAGAACCCAGGGCCTTGTACATGCAAGGCCAGTACTCAATACTGAATTATATTCCTAGCCCTTTTTAAGAAAGTCCCACTAAGTTTCCCAGGCTGGCCTCAAACTCGTGATCTTCCTGTTTCAGTCTCTTCAACAGCTAGCTTTTGCTTTTTAACTTTCTGTTCTAGAAAAAATTTTAAATTTATGGAAATGTTGCAAAGACAGTACAGAGAATTCTGTATTTCATTCACATGGCTCTGCTTAATGTATCTGATAGGAATATGGTATGTATTTTTAAAACCAAGAAATTAACCTCATATAATATTATTAAACTGCAGACTTTGCTATGATTCTACCATTTTTTCACTAATGCTCTTTCTATGCCAGGGTACCATGTTGCATTCAGGAAATCAGCACTAAAAGGAAAGTTTTTTAAGAAATCAAATGAACAGATCAATACGCTGTTTTAAATTATTTCAAAGTATGATCCTTCAATATGGGAAACCCTGCAATTGGCTGTCATCTTATGTTAATAAGACAACAGGCATCTTAATGTTAAGTTTCTATTTAGTAGTTAAGTTTCTATTTTTCCTCACCTAGCCTGTCTCATGTCCCTGTGGTTTGGCCTATAACAGTGATTATGCTAATTAGCCTGTCTTATGGGCCTGCGTGCACAGGAGACTCAAATTACCCTATAGCCCCCGGCCTCGCTAGAACTTCCAGCTGTTGCTAAGTTACCTGCTGATGTGTCAGAACCCAGCCACTTCCCTAATACCCTATATATTTGTTACTCTTTCTTTGAATAAACGAGATTTGATCAGAGCACTGTCTTGTCTCCATTCTTCATGTCTCTTGTCTCTTCCAATCCCCACTCCCCCTCTAGGGTCTCCGTGGACTTTTACCCGCGGGTTGGGACACCTCAAGCCAGGTGTGGTGACCAGGTGTGGTGATACAGCTATAATCCCAGCACTTGGGAGGCTGAGGCAGGAGGATTGTTGTTAAGTTTGAGATCAGCCTGGGCTACAAAATGAGCTCACGCCAGTCTGAACTGCATAGTGAGACCTTATCTCAAAAAAGATTTTTAAAAAAAATTCTGTCTTTTACTCAGGTGAGTATCCTTAATTAAGGTTATTACTGTTTAATTCATGGCCTATTCCGTTTTACCTATTGTATCTTTATTGCTGACATCATACACTATAAATTTCTTAGGTTCACATTCAACTACTAATCACGTATTTCAAAGCCTCTCTAGATTTTTTCTAAATTATGCAAATTTTCACTCTAATTTACTATAATCAAGTGAAACTCATTTACTTATTTAAAACAAATACTTATGATGGATCTACTGTTTTCTGGGCATAATGGATGATAGCTTAGGCACAGAATGAGACATTGTTAGAACTCCCTGCAGATAACTGCTATTAGGCTAGAAACAACAGCTCCAATAGTGGTAAAGGTCACAGTGTGTGAAAATTCCTTTCCAATGACAGCCAATAACCCAGGGAGCCCACTTTTGATTGGGTAGCAGGTAAGGATGCCCTGAGGAGTGACCATCTGAATCGAGACCTAAAAACGCATGGGATAGGAGGGATGAGGGCTGGAGGTCCATGCCAGGAAACAGAACAGGTCTGGGATTATCAGAACTTCTGCTTATAGTTTCTTCTTACATAAGACATTACTGCTGAGCATGGTGTAATCCCAGTACTGGGAAGGCTGAGGCAGGAAGGTCAGCATGAATTTGAGGCCAGTTTAGGTTATATAGTGAGTCTGAGGCAAATTTTTTTTCACAAATGTTTGCTATAAAGATTGACACTGGTGCCTTCACTCATGAGTCAAACAGAGTGTTTTAATGGAAGAGAGAATTTTGCAATTTTCCTGGGTTGACATGCATTTAAAAATTTGTGATACCATCTGTAAATGATATGAACTTTACAATACTTCATATGGATCTTATCTTTTTAGATTTATAAAAAAGGTAAAAATTAGGACAATACTAGGGCATGTTTCATAAATATAAATGTAAATATAAAATATAAGTGTATCTGCCTGTGTAGACATCTATTTACCTTTATTCTATGCCTCACCATGTATACATAGGGTTATTAGAGCTTTGCTTAAAATTTTATTAGTGGATAGACTAGTAAAACATTTTTAAGGTTTTACCGTCAAGTGTGAATACACATCTCAACTCCATAAAGCCTTGTTTCTTCAACACTACCCCTTTTGTATCTTGCTGCCAATAAAGCTGAAGTTTTGACTAGACTGGTGATTTCAAAACCTGTCTGTCTGTGAATCAGTGATCAGATGTGTTAAATTTAGATTCCTGTAGGTGGAGTATTTTTAGGCTCTGAAAATATTTTCTATGATACTATATTGGTAGATAATTATTACTGCACACATCCAAATTCATAGGATATATTTCATGAAAGACAAGTCCTAATATAAACCATGGACTCTGGGTGATTGGGATGTGTTAGTATAGGCTCACCGATAATAAACATGACATGTGAATAGGGGCTGTTGATACCAGGAGAGGCTATACATGTATGAGGATGGCTGGTATATGGGTAATCTCTGAACCTCTCTCTCAATTTTGCTGCGAATCTAAAACTTCACTAAAGGAATATAATCTTGCCTAGGTATAGTGGTCCATATCTGTAATTCTACCAAGCTGGGAGGCTGAGGCAGGAGGGTCACAAATTGAAGCCTAGCATGAGCAACTCAATGAGACCTTGTTTTAAAATAAAAAATAAATAGAAAGGGCCAGGGATGTCACTCAGTGCAAAGGCCCTGTTCAATCCCCAGTACTGCTAAATAAACAAATGAATAAATAAATCTATTTTAAATTCAATATTCAATTCCTGGCTTTTACTGACAGTAGATTCTTATTCAGTTGGCCTGCAGTGAGGCTCTAAAGCTGTAATTTTAAAGAGCTTTTTACATCACTTGATGTACTTACAAACATTAGATCCACTGGTGAAAGATGACATAGGAATACATTTGTAAGCACAGATATTCATACATTAAATGTATGTTTATTTGGTTTACCTTCTAATTTTCTTCTTTTTTTTTACTTTTTTTTTTTTTTTTTGTCTTTTTCCTTTTTATCAGTACCAGGGATCGAACTCATGACTGCCTGCTTACAAGGCAGGTGCTTATGCCACTGAGCTAAATCCCCAGCCCCCTAATTTTCTTCTTTTTTATAACCAAACATACTATTTACTTGTTTGCAGTCTGAACCTAGGGTTTCACACATACTAAGCAAGTACTCTAACACTGAGCTCCACCTGTAGCCCCAAATATGCTCTTTAAAGATAAAGAAGCAAGTCTTTGTTACATACTGTAATGCTTCATGCATCACTGTTCAAACTGTATGCACTAGGGTAATGTGATGTGTTGGCTCAGAAATAAATTTTTAAAAATAGGTAACTATGACCCTAAAAACACTAAAATATGAAAGCACTAAATATTTGGAAGAGTAAGTAAACATTTCTAACCTGGAACCAGAATGGTAATGGCTGTTTGTACAGCCTTTCGTATGATGCTGTCTAAGGCGAACATCCAGTGCGGCTTGATGTTATGATTCCGAAGAACTTTATTGACCTGGAAAAAGAGTTTCATTTAGTCTTCTTTAATTTTTAAGTGCCAATAACCCAGAATGTCCAAGTACATGGATCAAGTTCTACCTGTAAAAATAACTAAAAAAGTTTCCTCTCTTTGAATTTCAAGTAATTTCTGCATGTCGCTAGAAAACAAATTAAAAATTGCCACTTCAGATCAAAGATGAGTAAGCCCCATACAAGCAAGTAAGTATTTACATGGAAGGTGGTCTGGTTAAATGGGAATGTCACTTTTTTTTGGATCTAAAATACAGAGATGCAAGCCAGATGTGCTGGTGCACACCTATAATACTAGCTATTAAAGAGGTTACAGCAAGAGGATCACAAGTTCAAGGCCAACCTGGGGCAACTTAGCAAGACTCTGTCTTAAAATAAAATTTAAAATTGGCAGAGTGTGTAGCTCAGTAGTAGAGTGCTTATCCTGCATGTGCAAAACCCTGGGTTCAGTCCCCAATACTGACAGTAAATATGCAGTTACAGAGCAAGTGATGAGTGGAGGAAGGAGGAAGCAAAAGGTTAAGGGTCTTATATAAAAATAAACACCATCCTTCAATGTTATAACAGCCATTTAACATAGCCAAGTGCTTCAGCATACTCTGTTAACGTAATTAAGGGAGAAATTGGTATTTATGTGCCACCTACAGGTCTGCCATGGTGCAGGGTTTGTTTCCTTCTCACTCTTGTTTATTTCTCTATCAATAGGACAATCATGTGTTAGAATCTTTCAGAAAATCAGTTCACGGAACAATCCTCATTGTAAGGACATCTTTTCACAGGGACTGGTAATGTTCTATACACTTAAATAGACACTAAAATAAATGTGTACTATGTTCTTTTTAAAAATTGTAGTAAATTAACACATTTAAGCAAAATTTTACGTCTTAGTTTTAAATATACCATTAGGGACATTAAATAAAGTCATTGTTATACTACATTGCTATCACCCATCCACAAAACTCTTTTCTTGCAAAACTAAAACTCTGAACCTATTAAATAATTAAGTTCTCATGCTCCCAAAACAGTTCCTGCAAACACCCATTGTACTTTCTGTCATTATGAATTTGATATCTCAAGGTATCTCCTATAAGTGGATTATATATATCTGGCTTTTGTGACTGGCTTCTGAATGTCCTCAAAGTTCATTCTTGTGGCTTATGTTAGAATTTCCTTCCTTTAAAAGTCTAAGCCATATTCCATTATATATCACCCATATGTACTGCACAGCTGCTATACTCATTTTTTTTTTAAACAAACAGTCTCTTGTCATAAAGCTAAGAAAGGGTCTGCTTAGAAACCTTAGCAGAACTGGAGATGGTAACCTGGCTACAAGCTTATATCAAGAATTGGAATGTGAGTTGCTCAGGTCTGCCTTTGGCTAAACTTTATCAAATCTCCAGGTTATAAAAGGAGTCAGGAAGATTTCCTCATACTAGTTGTTGCCAAGGAATTGAACCAATTCTAGGTTCCTATTTGTTCCAGGAAATCCTTTCAGACTGAGTTTATCCTGATACCTTCATTTCTTTAAATGATTTAGCTGCTTATTTGACTAAAGGGGAGTAACACTCGCTACTAGGGTTTAGATCTGTAGCATTCTCCAAAAACCTAGTCCCTAGCCTATGGTGATACTGAGAGAGGTGAATGCTTTACAAGATGGGTTAGTGGAAAGAAATTAGGTACCACTGAAAAGGACACTGGGGTCCTAGTCTCTTTTCTCCCTCTGTTTCCTGGTTGCTATAAGATGAACAAGCCTGCTCTGTGATATACTCCTGTACCATGTTGTCACAAGCCCAAAGCAACAGGGCCAAATCACCATGGCCTGAAATCTATTAAACTCTGAGCCAAAATAAACCTTTCCTCCAAAAGTTGATCTGTTTCAGGTATCTATTACAGTGACAGAAGGTTGATCAGAATATTTCTCTGAAAAGTTCAAGAACAATATAAAGTGGAAGAGAGATCTTTTAAAGCCACAGTCTGCTTCACATAGCTCATCAGTGCATAATATATTACATATGTCCCATCCCTTGGATTCATTCCCATCCTGGGCAGTGAGTTAGCAAAAGCAAGGATGAGTGTATACATGCCTGTGTCTGACCTGGGCCCAAAGCCTAGAATCACAACTCAGTAACTCTCAGTCTGAATTCTACAGTCAATTTGCTTTCCAACCTCCAGACTGTAAGCCAAATGTGTTGGTAAGTACAAATTAGTTAAATTATCTCACTCTGTCTGCAGATGCTTGGGTGTCCTTAGTTGTAGGGTAAACACATCTTTAACATGTAGAATTATTGGTGGGCTTTGCCAGTTGCTTTTATTTCTTATGACTGCAATCAGTTCAGAGCTCTGGTACCTGCTTCCCATATAACATAACAACTAAGTGCTTACACACTGTCTCAGAAAATACTAGTGGCTGTTGAAAGATTATAATTTGGTTTTACTAAGATTATTGGATGTTCCAAATGCAACTATGAAAATACTTTTGTAAAGAAGCAATAAACACATTAGAAGTGAATTCATTTTTGGAATTTAAATAAAAGTATACAATGTACTCCTATGTCCAGCACCATGAAGAACTCTCTTTGTTTCTGCCTCGGAAGATCATGCAAGGGTCTTCAGGGGCCACCTTAAGTTGTCCTGGCACAAAGTCCCACAGATGGGTCTTATCCAAGAGAAATACAGAGGGTTTCGCATCAGTTTTGCAGAAGATTAGCCTCCAGTTTGTGTTGCATAGCAACTCAATTTTAGAAGAATTCTCAGCAATTCTCATGTGGATTAATTTTCACTTGATGATCTGGACAGGACCCAGTGGATACTTACAAAATAAACATGATACAAATGTTCTATATGGAAACCAGGGAAAAACTAGAGGGAAATATTACCAGTTTTATTCACCAGTGACCATTTCAGTGTATACGTTAAAATTTTTCTCAACAGCCACTAGATGGCACGTCCTGTGCAGTATTGGCTTATGAAGTGCAAGACTAAAATGTGCTATGTTGCTAAAGTTACCAAAATAGTGACCCAGTACAAGATTTCATAAGAAGAGAGCTCAGCCATGGAGGATGTTTATTGTAAGTTTTGTTATTTTCCATGGTGATTTAGTTTTATGTGTATTCATCTTTGGGAGATGAAAATGTACAAAATAATAAATCTAGTTCTTACAGGCAAACAGATGAACAATTATCTCACATTTATCATCTAAAAGGAATAGAGTCCACAAAATTACTGAAGAAAGAAAAGAACAAAACCTTAAAACTGTTTCTAAGGCTAATATTAACAGAGTTTATGGGAAACCACTGCCAAAATATCACACTTACCGCATCTTGGAAACCAAAGAGGACCACCTGCACTTGGCTGATACCATGGCTGTCGAAGTCCAGCTCTAATTTCAGCTTTGACAGTGTAGAGGCTATGATCTTCCGGTCTGTAGATCTCACAAACTCTCTGAGGCTCACAATGAGGGTTGTAATGTGCTCCCATTTTAGTTTAGGTTCTTCAGCACCCTGAGAATAAAAATGAATAACCTCTGCGTTACTCTGTACTGCACAGTCAGCCATGTACATGCCATTCCCATAGTCCTTTGAGAGAAGAACTGAGCTCTGAAGTGCCTCCCATTAAAGAACAATTGTATCTTGAACTTTATGGTTCCTCTTTTCTACTCTCTCTACCACTAACCCCATCACTAAGAAACACTCAGATTTGGGGAGAAAGATCACTTCCCCCGATACACTAGTCAGTAGCCATGATATGGTCAAATATTTGCCCCCACAGGGACAGGCTGAGGCAATGAGATTCCTGTTCTCAGAAATTTTAATTGGGAACTAAAGAGAGATTCAGGCAGTGATTCAGGAATCTTTACCTCAAAGTCTGCCCAGGGAGAGGTCATAAACCAGGGTCATGAATACATCCAATTATAAGGAAGCAAGTGGGAGTAATGAAATTGAAATAACAGGTAGGGAGAAGAAATGTGGATGGAAACAAATGCACACAATAGGGCAGATAAAAGCACAGACAGAAAAGATGTGCAAATTCCTATAAGTTGAAGTCCCTTAGATTTACATTCTAGTGTTAGCCTCTGTGAGGTTCAGCCAGGCCCTGTGGTTGGAATTCCTTGCATCTCACTCCCTTCTTGGTGTGTGTACTATCATATGTCCCTGGAATTTGCTTGATATTAAAATGAGTCAATTCCTTGCAATCAAAGGAATTCAAACTGCAAACTTCATCCTTACCCATCAGCAGCACAATGGGTAGAAGAATGATATATAACAATGAACCAATGGTATTTTACATATTAAACATATGATACAATATTAAAAAAATTCTTTATTGTAAATTAAAATTTTTACATTGAGGGCACACTGTTTCATGACGGAAATATTGTAGGATGTTATTTATTCTCATTTAACTTTAAGAAACAAGAGTTTCACTATGCTCATTTCAATTTCATTTTCTTACTGCATGGTTAAAATTAATTCTTCAACTGGGGTATAAAAATTACAATTTCTAGGATTCTTTTAAAACAAAAGAGAAATGTACCAAGTTCTTTGTTTTGTTTTTCTGAGACAGGTCTCATTATGCAGTTCAGGCTGTCACTGACCTTCCTTTGTAGCCCAGGCTGGTCTTCAACTTGCAAGGATTCTCCTGCCTCAGCTTTCCAAGTGCTGGGATTAGAGGCATGCACCACCAAACCTGGCTACCAAATTCATTTTTTATGGAGACCACTACAAAGCAGCTATGAGCAGGACTCAAAATTAACCAACTGGCTTTGTACATATACTTATGAGTTTGTCCGAGGCCTAAGCCTCTTGTTTGGAGAGCGGCAGTGGACTCATAGTAAGTGAAACTCCATGGGTCACTGCTGAGGCCCTGCTGAGGCCTATAGTGGCTTGTGAAGCCAAGAGGCCTCAAAGGACAAGATAAGGTCACAGCTGAGGACTCCTGATACCTACCGCAACTAGAGACTGTTGCTGCAGGCTTCTCACTCCTACAGTGAAAGTCAACCTGGAAATTTTCTAAGATACTTCTAAATTAACATAAGATAGTTCTCCTAAATTAATATAGTCCTAAAATAATATGAACAATTATTTCTATCTGGTTGTACAAAAAGTTAAAGCCCTTGAACCACTCCCAAAGTCCTGCTCAGTTTTCTGTATTTTCCACTCTAACCCCTTCCCTTGTTTGAAAATCAAATAAAAATGCACTGCCCAGAGATGTATGTTGTTTAAGTCCCCAGAGAATCCTGACTCCTGTTAGAAGGTTTTGAGCCTCCTGGAGCCCTAAAATTATACCACTTGTCTCTTTTATATAAGCCTTCACTGTCCAATCATTTGTAAGGCTGCGGGCCTGATCAGTCTGCAATATATTTTCTCAGTATCTTTTCTTTTGGGACTCTGTCTCATCTTGGTGGTTTCATGAGAATCCATTATTTTGAAAAGCTTAAAAGCTGCCATTAAGAGAATATTTTAAAATCAGAGGAGGTACAATTATAAATTTTGTTTCCTTTTCCTTACCAAAACTAAAATTATCTCACAGGCAACATATAACACTATGAGAATGTGTTCAAGAAGAAAATGTGAGTTATTTAGAAATTGGAAGCTTATCTCAGTAAAAAATCAGTTTGCCAAACAGCAAACATTTATTTTTGACATTAGCTAGATTTCACAACAGAAAAAACATGTTGCTTCTGATTTCTTGATGTGTACATCTGACAAAGGAATGCTCTCTCCTCTGGGAAATGTTTTTTGTCCTAATTTATCCGCTTATATAATCATTATTTCCATCCTAACTCCTGCCTTTCCATGTTAACCCATTTGTGTACCTTCATTAAGGAACATTCTGTGGGGCAGGTGTGGGGACTGAAGGTAGCATTTGACAGTGAGCTGTCCTGAGCACTCAGACAGCCTGTCCCAGAGTCTTCTGTGTGGTTCTTGTCTCTTCATCATTATCTTTTCTTTTCAAACACCATGAGTGGATTTCCAAGACAGTAGAGAATAAGAGGCAATGTTGATGTTTTTGTTTTTTTAGAATTTGCCAACATCTACCTTTTTATTTTGTCATAAAGGGTAGACCAAAATATGAAGGTATATGTAAATGCATTTAAAAAACCATTAAAACAATTATTTCTATCTGGTTGTACAAAAAGTTAAAGAGATTATAATAATGATTATCCTGCTTAATAGTAACAACAACAGTGATAGTTAACACCTGGGCAATCTTTTTTGTTATGACCTAAATCACTTATGACCTCAGAGACTCCTGCTAGCAACCTCAGAAGGTAGAGTCCTCGGTTTTATAGAGGAAGAGGCCTTGGCTCTGAGAAGTTAAATGACTTATTAAGACTGCACAGCCTTTTCATGAGGAACCCAGCCTCAAACAAGTCCAAGCTGAGCCCCAGCTCTTAACCACTATATTCTCCTGTCCCAATTAGCTGCAAGAGCCAGCTGTAAACCTGAGTTAAAACCTGCTCTGCCACCTCATCACTCATGATTTCCCAAGAAGAAATTCACAATGGCCTTGATGTACAATCAAAAGGACCCTCGCTCCCTCTTAACCACTTTGGGCTGGGCACGTGATTCTATTCAGCAGTTTCTGGTTCTTTTCTGTGGTGCTAGTGCACCAAGGTCTGCCTTCTGAGAGCTGCTTTCAAGGTTGTTTTTCATTTTCCCATTTATAGAGAACATTCGAGCACACTTTAAAAACTAGAAGGTACCAAACTACTAAGTATCATTAACCAACTTCAAAGGTTAAGAATTTCAGACTGGGGTATAATTAGGCCAGTGGTAGAGGGCAGCAGGGCATGAATGAAGCCAAGGATTCAATACCAAATATCTTGTATCAGCACAGTTGCTTAAGTGACCTCTTTTTTTTTTTTTTTTTTTTGTGTGTGTGTTTTTCCTTTTTATCGGTACCAGGGATCGAACTCATGACTGCCTGCTTTCAAGGCAGGCGCTTATGCCGCTGAGCTAAATCCCCAGCCCCTGAAGTGACCTCTCTTGCCACGCTCTGGAGACAGGGTCTACATCATTGGCCATGGCAGTTAGAGCTACCATGATAGGGGATGAAGAAAAATCCTCACACAAGTTATATTTTTCTGTCCTAGAAAAGCATATCCTTGGGCATGAATAATTCCTGGGTTCTACATGTTTCTAACCTAAACATGAGCATCTTAAACTACAGGCCATAAAAGAAGCATTCACTTCAAAGTGTTTAACAGTGACTTCCTTTCCTCCACCAACTCAACCTCTCCATTTCCCAGTACCCATTTCCATCTGGCAAGGTACTTGAGTCCTCTGTGCCTCAATTTCCTCATCTGTAAAATTAGGGTACTATTACTATAACTATTACTTTAGGACTATTGCATTGAGAGTTAGATGAATAAATATACATGAAATACTAAAGACAATACCTAGCCCATAGAAAACACTTGCTATTGATAAGATAGGCTTAATAGATAGTAACTATTTTTTAATTATTCTTTTCCCTCCACTAGAATGCCAACTTCAGTGGGATGCAGATTTTGTTGTTGTTGTTGTTGTTCACTGTAGCAACTTCATCACACGGAACAGTGCCCAGAATTTAATAATGCTCAGCTCTGCTTACGGGATATATGAACTCCAAGTGCTGCCAAGTTGTGACCTCCTTCTAAACTTAGTTCCTCTTCTAATTTCAACCTATCTTATTTTCAATCTTTGGCTGTGGTGTGCCTGTCGGCATCTTCAACACTCATCCTACCCCCAACTCGGGGCCCAGCTACTCCTTATCCCAGAGCATTACTTCTTGGGACTCAGAGTAGTTGCTTGAGATAGCTTCCTTTAGATCAAGTCAAGGTTTCTCCAGAAAGCACTAGTGGCACTCATTTCAGTCCTTTTTGTATCAAGTCACCCTACCACACACAGCCTTCTTTCTCCTGTAGGATCTAGAGATGGACATTAGGGATTCCCAATGCTATGGAATGTTCAGGCTCAGAAGGCAACAGAGAGGCCTAGTGGTGTTCTCAAGATAAAACACAAGCCAGGGCAGTGTAAAAAGAGACTGCTTTGTTTCATTTCTGTTTCAGTAGAAGAAGAGAACAGGCAAACTCTTGGACTGGGAGACTCTGAACAACTTGGCTCAGCCTCTCCAGCTCCATCATTTAGCAGCTGTTTTCCCAGCACAGAGGGAAGGAAGAAACTACATTTAGTCCACAATGATCAGGAAGGACAGGTGGTGGCCATACAGATAGAGGTACAGAAGCAGATGGATGAGTCCCAGCCACCCACACAAGTAAAGGATGGTAAGTATCACGTTGGGAACAGAGGGTCTGTGGAAGGCTTATATCCACAGGAGGCCTGGGCTTCTGCCCCCAAGGGCTTAGAATTGAGGGAAACCTTGTTTTCACTGCTTCTGGCTGACAAGGAGCTTCTTTCTCATTTCTGTAAACAGCATCCAGAGAATGTGCTTACCAAGGTAGGAGAGACCAAACTGTGTCCCACTTCATGTGTCAATACTAACTCCTAGATATGTACCTGGAAATAGGACCTTAAAAGTGATACCTGGGTTAAGTGAAGTCATGGGGTGAATCTTTAATCCAGCTAAACCCATATCCCTGTGTCCTTATAAGAAGGAGAAGAGACACTAGAGTTCTGCACATGCACAGAAAAAAAATGCCACTGGAAGATATGGAGAGAAGCAGTCACCTACAACCAACAAGAGAGGCCAGAGGAGAAACCAAGCCTGCCAACATCTTGATCGTCCCTTCCAGCCTCCAGATTTATGGGAAAATAAATTTCTGTTGTATATGGCACCTGTTCAGAGATATTTTGTTAAAGCAGCCATAACAAACTAAAATATCAGGGAATAAGCTATTCCATCACAATATAGATGACCGCCAAACACATAATACACCTCAGCTGTTACTCATCAACCTCCATCTGAATGTTGTGGCATGTAAGTTATGTTGTGTTGCAGATATTTCTAAATGCTCAGAGGAACAACTACATGTGGTCTTGTGTTAATGTAGTAATTCACGACTTGGCATGAAGCACACACCTGTCATCCTAGCACTTGGGAGGTTGAGACATGATGACTGCTAAGAGTTTGAGGCTAGCCTAGGCTACACAGTTAGTTCAAGATCAGGTCTTGGGCTACATATCAAGATGCTGTCTTAAAAAATAATAATAGCTTAATGCTTGTTTTCTGAATGAATAAAGTAATGAATGAAAGGCAAAGAGGCTTGCAGGGAGTAGGTGGTACCTCATCAACATGAGTACTTTGTTTCTGACTTAAAAACAGTAGATACTCAAAACATACTTTCCACATTAAGGACTCACTGTTTTGTTTCCCCTGGGATAGGTTTATCAGTGTGAACATTACATCTTCATCAGGTTTTCACATCATTTGACACAGCTCCAGATGTTTAGTACACAGTAAAAAGTGGACCAGCACAGTGGTGTGCATGCACAGTTCCAGTTATAATTGAAGCTGAGGCAGGAAGACTGCAATTTCAGGCCAGTCTGGTAACTTAGGAAGGCCTTGTCTCAAAATAAAAACAAAATGGGCAGTGGGGTGTGGTGTGGTGGTACATGCCTATAATGCCAACATTCAGGAAGTCGAGGCTGGAGGATCATTGCTGCAAGCCTGAAGTCATTTTTGGGCTACATAGTGAGTTGAAGGCCAACCTGAGCTATACATTAAGACCCTGTTTCCCAAAAAAAAAAAAACAGAAAAAGAAAATGGGCTAGGATGTAGCTCAGTGCTTCTTGGGTTCAGTTCTTGGTACTGAAAAATATAATAAAAACAAAACAAATATATATGCATAAACTTCAGGCAATGTAGGAGTAAGAGGGCTTTTTTTTTTTTTTTTTACCTGAGCTAAACACTCCATTAAATTCCGCACAATCTTGTCTTGGTCTTCTGTCAGGATTCTGTGCAACGTGGCTCTCCTCTCACTGTCCTTCCGCAGCATAAAGAATCCAGAGTCTTTTTCTTCAGGGGAAGGTGGAGCGCTGTGATCTTCAAAGTTTTCATCTGGAATGCTGTAATGATGGATGCAGCATCAATCAGCTGCCTGTACAAGATCATACACTTTCCAATGAACTTCTTTCACCTATGGGAGTTAGGTCCTTACCCTAAAAACAGTGTCCGTATTCCTTTCACATCTTTTTCTCCACAGGATTTGGCTCTGGTTTTGAAAGAGAAGGGATCCACCTTTAACTCCGTGTCAGGGGAAACAGAGCCGTACTCGCTGCTGCTGCTGGTGTCTTCCACTAGGACGGGCACTGGCAAGGAAATGCTGCGGAGGTACTCAGCTGAGATGGGTAGAAGGAAGGTCATTAGTGCTTTGGAAATATACACATACTGTACTGAAACACCTGTTCAGGGAGAACAGCATCATGTGTCAAAATCTCTGGGCAGCCATGCCTAGTAGGTGTACGCCTATATTCTCAGCAACTCAGGAGGCTGAGGCAGGAGGATTGCAAATTCAAGGCCAGTCTGGGCAATTTAGCAAGATCTTGCTAAAAATAAAATAGAAAAGCTGAGGATATAGTTCAGTGTGATACCTGACATTCCTCCCCCCGCCCCACCGCCATCTTTTAGCAGTGAGCAGCACAATCACACTACACAAGGGGTTGGCCTGTGATTAGGACTGGGGTACTTTGGAAGGGTGAGGAATGGGATGCTGAGTATACACTGTAGTCTCCAATCTGGTTTGGAGCTGACACAACTCTGTCTAAGGATGCCTGTGAAAACGCATCCTTTGCTAATAAAACTTTAGAAACTGATGGAATAGAGATCGCTAAGGTCTTTCCAGGTTCTCAATACTATGCATCTATAGAAAACCTGGGCTTCTCCTTTCTCTGGAGATAGTAAAATAGAAGTCACTTAAATTTCATCAAACATTGGTTTTAAAGAACTTTCGTCAGAAACATCTTTAATGTTTCAATTCTACAAATGTATTTTACTAAACAAGGCAGGTATAACATTACTATTTAAAAAAATCAGCTGTTGCCTGGAAACCATTTCTTACTGAATTCCTCTTGTGCTGGGCTGAGTCAATAATTTCCCAAGTGATAAAGATGGAAGACAGTCAGTTAGTGGGTGGGAGGGGCAGGAGAAGGGGAAGTCTTCATCTTCCTTTTGTTCCTAGCATCCTGCAACTATTTACAAATTTTGTACCTTAAGATTCTGTACATGCATTGTATCATATGTTGTAAATACAATCATAAAAATATACAAAATATATCATAATTTAATGGTAGTTATCTTTAGAGGATGTGATTTGGGACAAGCATGTTTTTTTTTTCAAATTTTCTACAGTAATGAAGTATTTCAATAATCAGAAAAATGTTATTCAATGTATTTTTCATGAGGAAAGATTCAGTTGGTAGAAACATACTTTACTGCAAATATCTGAAAGATGGAATAAACCCCATTATATTGAAGGACTGAAGCTCTGAAGAGAAAGGAATGAGTTATGACAAATCAAAGTGACCCCCAAGTTTTTGGCCTCAGAAAATGAGTGGTTGCATGTACTGTTTATATAATACAATGAGAAGAAAATACAGGCTGAAGGGGAAATTGATTTTGATGAGGAAGGGTTATAATTTGACAGTTTAGCTTGAGAATGAAGTGTGAGTCTAGGGTTCAGAAAATTGGGCTAGAGATATGATCTTAGTCCCCTGTCACTCTAGATGGCATTTAAAGCAAAGGATGACCCAATTTAGGAAAATACAAAAAGAGAACATAGAACCCAGGTCTCCAAAACACCAGTATATAATGGAAAATGAAGGAAAAGGAAATAACAAAGGAGAGTGACAAGGAGCAGCTATAAGAATAGTGGAGAAGAGGCGAATGAAGTTAAGGGAAGCCCATACAAGAGGAAACAGGGACCAGCTACTTGGGCAGAACGCAGAGAAGTTGAGGAAAGTGAGAAAACTTTGTGTTAGATTTGCCTCTGTGTATCTCATTGGTAACCTGGGCCTTAGCAGGTTCAGTGATCATGTGGAAGTGGAGACACTGAGTTATGAGGAAAGAAGAGTCAGAGAAGACCTGGAAACAGTGTACTTCAAGACATGGAGTTGTGGCAGGCAGCAAAAAAAAAAAAAAAAAACAGAGCAAACTCCTTGAAGACAGTGCCATCTCCCTCACCTAGACAGCAGCTCTGAGTACTCTAGGCCCACAAACTGGCCACTCACCCCTCCCCGCTCCAGCCTATTCCTGGCCTTTTACTAAAGCCACTCTTAGGACTCACATCCCATTCCTTCTCCCCCCAAACAGACTGTAATAACCACCTATGACTAGCAGCTAACATGTAAATGTACTAGATGGTGAAGAGACTAGATATTTTTATTATCACAAAATCATAAACTACTGCTGGCCTATATTCCAAGATCAAAATCTTTTCCTGGTTCTCTGCCTCTCTTTGCCAACCTTAGCATTTCATTAAGAGCCCTTTTGAATCTGAGCTGGCCTACCCTCTGCCCAGGTGCTTTAAGCACAAGCAGCGCTACGCCACTGGTCTCTTAATACATAGAAAGGGTTCACACATCCTGGCACTAACTCATGCTAGGAGTAGCCTCACCTGTCAAACATGTGCTAGGAGTGGCCACTCCCTATCCACCTATTAAACACGTGTTCATCCTTATTCAAGATGAACACATGTTAAGACCTTAACATCACTTACTCAGACTGACTTGAGACACTTTTCTCCTTTTCAACTTCCTCTATGAGGCTGATGACTTTTGCCTTTATCTCCCCTTTAAGTACAAAAGCTCCTTAAATCAGGAACTCTGGCTTTATCATTAGACATTCAGGGGGCAGAACATTACCTGAGCATACAGTAACTGCACAATCAATGTTTAAGTGAATTATTTAAGCCTTCAGGTCTGCCTATATTGATAGGAGAGGTGTTAGAGTCAGATAAAATATGTGCTATTGTGTGAATACCCCACCAAAGCGCATGCTGAAATTTAATCTCTATCATGAGATTCAGTAAAGGGACTAGGTGAAACCTTTAGTGGTGACTGGATCATAAGCACTCATGAATGCTCTCATGAGTGCATTAATTCACTCATGGATTCATTGATCAGTGGGAGTGGCTTTGTCCTAAATGCAGCTCTCTTTGCTTTTCTTGCTCACCATCTGAATGTCCTGTCTTGCCATGGGTGTCCTTTATTACTTGGGACTCTGCAGAGAGCACTGCCAGCAAAAAAGCCCTTACAAGATTATCAAGGAGATACAGGTGCCATGCTCCTAGACCTCCAGTACTGTGAGCTAAATCAATCTTACTTTTCTTTATAAATCACCCAGCCTGCGATATTCATTTATAGCAACAGAAAAAAGACTGAGACATCACATCTTTCTTCAGGGAGGAAAGAGGGCTTCACCATTACCAATGTCCCAAGAGTAAAGTGAGCACAGGTACTGAAGGTGAACTCTGGGGAAGGATCTGTATTTTGGCGTCAACAGGTATAAGGTCTGTAAAAGATGCCAACAAAGGAATAGCCCTGCAACTATACTCATCTAGAAGGTGAGGATGGCCAGGACATTTTAATAGTTTAAATTAATAAGAGGCTGGAAATTCTCGTAACACTCCTTAAACAATCAAATGGGATTTTTTTCTCTTGGTTAGCATGTGTCTTGGCTTCCTGAGGCAGAGAGGGAAGTATTTGTGGTGTTTATGGAGTGACATTTCTTCAACTAAGAGTCTAAACAGGTATATCACGCTGCCCATACTTTCAGGCCCAAGTCTCTATCTCAGGTAAGGGAAGGAAAGGTCACTGGGATATAAAAGGCTCACAAAATTGAGACAGCCCAGAGTAGTTCTGATTGAGAGAACCAGGAGGGCCCTCAAGGAAAGAGCAGGGAATCTTCAGGTTTTGGTTCACAAATCTCAACGAGTCATTGAGCACAACTATCCGAGTAAGACGAGGAGAATAATAGTAAAAACTGTTCAGGAAGTGCTTTCTGGGTTAGGCATTTTATATAAATGGTCTCATTTAATCTTCACAAGAGCCCATGAGCAGGTGGTTTCATTGAACCTGCTAGCCAGATGAGAGTAAGTCATATCTAGGGTCAATTTATCAATAAAGAAATCCAGCTCTATCCCTAATACTCACTGTCTGACACTACAAAATCCTAAGATCCTATAGCACCTTAAGCAGGATTAGGCTGTAAAGCCAGTGCAGGCTGAATTTCTGCTCAATTATCCTGTGTAAGGTGGAGAAGAGGGCAAGTGTGGATGGATCATGCCTGACCAGCCATAGAGATGTGGTCTCACACGGCACCTTGCCCTAAGACCTGGGCCTCCCAAGAAGCTGGGGCAGAACTGCCAGCTAGCCTGTACCACTGGATTCACAGAAGTTCAGTGTGCATGACAGAAATGTGTTTCTTGTGAATGAAAACCCTGCTGTGTGGAAGGTACAAGGCCATCATGGAGTGAGCTTCTGGGCACAGCTCCAAGGTTTTTCCAGGATACCATTTCACTTCATTTTCTCAACCAAATCTGCCAAGTAGGTATTGTTACCAGCACAGAGTGACAGCTGAAACAAACTGCTGCATGTCACACATCTAGAAAATGGCCCAAGAGGATCAAAATCAACTTCTGAGCAGGACCAAAAGCAGATTGCCCTAGAGAAAGAAGGAAGAGGAGGGGATAGGGTAGGTGGGTTGGTCTCTCTGCAGAATTGCAGAATGAAAACGGAAGAGACTGTGCCATGAAATGCCAACTAATGGGCCGCCAATCTAGGCCAAGTGACTTTAGGGCATCTGAGGAACCTGCAAAAACGTGCAGCCTGGCCCACAAAACCCACACACAATGGAATTTAGCCCCTGCATGCCCATCAACCACTAACTCACCTAAGGAAAACTCCCCAAGAGGTTCATGTCTTTATTCTTTGAAATGCTTTAACTGCTCTTCCAGTATCAAATCTATCTTCCAAGTTATGATCTGGAAAAGCCTACTGTAGCACCGTAACTCCTGGTATCTTAGAAACAGAATATGCTATTCCAGGGATGATAGATCAGGGTAGCTGGCATTGGAATTTTCCATAGGAAAGCCAGTAGTTGGGCAGTTGGCTTTTGGATAAGAAAGCAGGGACTTTGCTCAAATAGAGTTTCTAAAACACAGTCACCAGCTTGCATTACAGTATAATAATGTACACACAAGCTTTCTTCACAGAAGACAAAGGTAAGGGATTTATTTCCAAAGCAATGAGCCCAGCCAAGCCCACAGTTGTATGCATTAGCGTCCCTAGTAAGCAAGGGGTAATGATGAGGCTGCTTATGAGAAGTCTAGAGTTTATGACAATGGTACACCAGCCCTCTGTTCAGCAGGAAAGGTAAAAACAGACTCACCATTCGATCCAGCTGATAGAGCTGTGGAAAGAAAAGTAAACAGCAACATAAGCACATGTTGGCCTTATTATTAAACTGAGCAATCAACAAAATGAAGGCTTGAAATGGAATCAATGTCCTTTCCAAACATTCAATCTGCCCATCCTCATCCAGTAGAAATACCAAAAAATACCAAGAATAAATGGATCTTTTACTTTATTTTCTTTCTGAAAAAGAATTATGGAAACTATGGCAAAAAGACAATTTACATATATATATATATATATATTATTTTTTTTTGTCTTTTTTATTGTTACCGGGGATCAAACTCACGACTGCTTCCAAGGCAGGTGCTTATGCCGCTGAGCTAAATCCCCAGCCCCTAATTTACTTATATTTTAATACTGCTATTTTATTGACAGCTGACAATCTTTCTCTATTTTTCTTAATTATCTTAAAAATGTCAGGGATTTTCTACTGCCTAAAGTTAAAAGGACACACTACTTAAATGGTTTGAAAATTAAGTAACTCTCTAATAGTCTTGTAGCCTGTCAGTGGTAATAAAGGGTTTCAGCTCCAAAAGACTATATTACACCTCTTTTACACTTTTTAAATACAGGATTTACAACAATAGAATGCTATAAATGCTAGTACATTAATATCTACTAGATGAAGGAAAACCATTATGTTTGAGGACCCACTGTTTATGAAACTAATAGTAATACAGTTTCCTGATACTTTAACCAAATGCCCGAGGGCACTGTGCTAATGTTTAATCCAATTTCTAGGGATTTCTGTAAATAGATTTACTTCTAGAAACATTTTCCATCTTGATGCTTACAATTCAGTGACTCTGACCCACATCCTCTTCAGTGCAACTACATTACCTGAAAGCTTAGGTTGTGTCTTTTTCTTTTTGCTGGAAACTTTTAAGAACTCATCTGTAAGTAAGTCATTAGCACAGGCTCTCTTGTCAGGGTCTGGTTCAAAACACTTCAATATGAATGCCTTGGCTTCTGCAGACATGGACTCTGGAATCTCAGGGTGAACTTTAAACATCCCCACCTAAAACATAAACAGAAAAGGACAGTGTGTTTTCTGTTTTTCTTTTCTTTCTTTCTTTTTCTTTGTGATACTGGACATTAAACTCAGAGCCCTTTTTATTTTTTATTTTGAGTCAGAGCTTCACTTAAGTTGCTTAGGTTGGCTTCAGACTAGCAGTCCTCCCCCTGCAGCTGCCCAGAGTGCTAGGATTACAGGCAAGAGCCATCATGCCTGACGAAAACACACAAAGTGTCTTGTGAGTGAATACTCTAGCACCTGAGCTCTAAGTTCCATTATCTGTCCCCTAGTGCAGCCAGATCCCTTATCATATACTACAAGATCATGTCATTTTCCAGGTGTGACAGGATGTATTTTCTGTAGGTTACAGAAAGCTTACAGACTGCTTTTGTGATTTTACAAGTGACACAGAAGATAGGTCAGCCTGAGACATCAGAGAAGCATTTAAAGTAATAATGCATTCCTTCAAAACTTCAGAACACATTCCTATCCCGGTACTCAAAAAAAAAAAAAAAAAAAAAGCCAAAACATATTTTTAACTGAAACCTCTGAGTTGCTCTCAATAACTACATACCAGGCATTGTGCTGGGGTTTTTCCAGTTCTAAATCACAGAATGCTCCCAGCACCCAGAAGATTGAATATTATCGCTTGACACCATGATGAAAATAAAGCTCAGAGGGATGAGTTTACACAGTTATAAAAAGGTAGAACTGGGATTTTAATTTCAATTTGTTTGAATTCAGTTGTATATTTTATCTCCATTATGTAATTTATAAACATTTTCCCTATCTCAAATCATCTAAATTAAGGATATTGAAAATACTTTAAATAAAAAGTATTTTGTATCACAATGAAAACTTACTCCCTCCCACCCCCAAACTGTGACTAAGATTTAAAATTTTTTAAATCTTAAGACTGGGATTCATTAAATTGCTCAGTTGCCCAAGCTGGACTTGAACTTGTGATCCTCCTCTCAGCTTTCTAGAGTGCTAGCATTATAGATATGTGCCACCTTACCCAGCTCCTAAAAATTTTTAATGGTGTTTTCATGATTTTAGTACAGAGAAAAATGTAAGGAAAGTTTCTTTGTTAATACATAACTCATATCAATTTATTCTTATGTAAGCAATAACGTAACTGATAATAACTACGCAGTTTTTACTATGTGTTAGGTACTAAGTGCACTGTATATATATACTAATTCACTGTATATATATATTAATTCATATATTGGCAAAAACTCCTAATAAATAGGTACTGCTTTGCCTCCATTTTGTAGATTAAGAAATGGAGCCCACAGTGATTTAAATACTGTAGTTTGTCTAATGTTTCAAATATCTTGATCATGTTAGAGCATTGATTTGAGCACTGCTGACCTGTGTCAGAAGCTATGTGATTTCTCCTAAGACAGTGTTACTTCTCAGGTGCAGCTTAGGCTGGCAAACAGTGACAAGAGCATCACCTCACTAATGAACAATAAAAGTAGCATTTCAGAGTGCTGCTCCAGAAGCTAGTGAAAACAGGATAGCTCAGCCAAAGAAAGAGACTCTTCCTGTCAAGAAAGGTAGCTGTGTTTGCATCTCTCTTTACTCTTTCAGTTTGGGTGACACATCTCATTTTTGTAGCAGGGCATGTCATTAGATTGTCTTCCAGCTTGAAGTAAGTAATAGTTGTACAAAAGAGGGAGATATATTTTGGGCATGATGGCATACATAACTGAAATCTCAGCATAGTGGAAGGCTGAGGCAGGAATATCACAAATGCAAGCCCAGCTTGCACAACATAGTGACTTAGTGAGAGCTTGTCTTAAAATAAAAACTAAAATATAAAAATTAAAAAACTAAAAAAGGGCTGTAAATATATCTTAGTGCAAAGGCCCTGGGTTCAATTCTCAGTACAGGGTGTGTGTATGCTGATGCATATAACACACAACCCCTAATAAGCCATACACAGAAGGATTAAGGGCTGGCAAAATGGCCAGCAGCTAGGAAAGATGGTGGTGACCCTTAGGTATCCTCTAGATAACAGAAGAACTGGCACATAAAAGTAAAGTGTCCACTTTAAACTTCCTGCTGGTCTGGCATGGGATAAGCAAGGGCTGCAGGACTTGTCAGGTCACTGACAGAACCAGCCCCCGGAGTGTGGTCCTGGGCTCCCCCGGATCCATTCCCACTGCAGTGCCTCTTGACATGGTGGGCGGGGGAGGGGGGGAGGCGACCTGCTTCTTTCTCCCCAGAGTCATGTAGGGACAAATTAACAAGCTAGAAAGAGTACATATATGAGAATAAGACTGAGTTACTTAAAATAGCACGTATGCCTTTTTACAAATGGGCCTTCAAGCAATTAAAGAAATGAGGAAAAATACTGATTTGACTGAATTCTTCAGTGGATCAAAAATATTCTTACATCTCCCTAAGAAGGAAGCATTTAAATTGTTTCCCAAAGTCCCAAGTCATTTTCCATATAGTGGTGTGTTCGTTATAATGTACTATGGGAAGGCAATAAAGCAAGATATGCTGAATTGCACTGCACAGAAAACTAAGGCAGATAGCAAGAAATCTACTGTATGAGACATAGGGACTAACTCTGGGGACACAAAATGTTGAATTTGAATGTGTTCTCAGCTTGGGCTTACTCACCTTTCCTTAGGAAAAAAAAAAAAAGACATACACAGACTTATCCGGTAGCTATGAAAAACCTTATCTGTTTGTTTTCAAAATAATACAAGATAATACAAAATGTGACCTTGAACATGGCTGCTTGTGGTTCTCCTAGTTCATAAAATGGTGGTTTTCCTGTGGCCATTTCAATCATTGTGCAGCCCAAAGACCAAATATCTGCTGCTTTGCCGTAGCCTCGTGGTCCTTTATCGATTATTTCTGGTGCCATGTACTGAAGGGTACCTGGAAATATGCCAAACATATTTCTACTTTATAAAAAGCAAATACATGGCTACCTAATTAATGATAGTTTCAATTGTTCTACATAAGTAAACAGTTTTAAAACCATGAGTCAGGCCCTAATATCTTTGAGGTCTAGTTTTGTTTGCTGTTAATAAAAGTGGAAATAATTTTTATTATGGATTTAATCAGTGACACAATTATATCAACTGGTTCTGAATAAGTACGTTCTCATTGCCTAGACAATGGAGGACAACTGAAGCATCATTCCATTGAGATCTCTTAGAGGCTTCTAACAAACCATTATTCTTTTAGAACAAAAGAGAATACATCAACACATATTGTCTGCATTCAGTTAAGTACCATGACTTCATACTTCTAATCTTTTCCAGGAAAAATTTAGTTCACTCATCCTCCTCTTTAGATTTATACTTCTCTACGTTCTTGTTTTTATGCTGGAAGCTACTACACTAAGTGAAATAAACCAGGTACAGAAAGACAAACCCCATATGATCCCACTCACATGTGGAATCTAAAAGGGTGGACCTCACAGAAGGTGAGAGTGCAATATTGGCTGCCAGAGGCTTGGGAAGTAGGGAAAAGAGAGGGATGGGTAAAGTTGGTCCATATGCAGTAGGTTAGTTAGACGGAAGAAAAGTTCCAGGGCTCTATTATACATAAAGTGAATACGTAACAATATGCTATGTTTTAAAAGCAACTGGAATAGAGAATTTTGAATATTTTCAGCACAAAGAGATGATAACTGAATGAGGAGACTGATATGCTTACCACAACTTGAATATTATTCAATGTATTAAAATATCATATGATAACCATTAAGTTTGCAACTTTTATGGCAACTTAAACTTTCAAGTTATTCTTATTTCTTAATCATGACAGCATGGCAATTCTGAAAGCTATGGTAACAATAATACAAATAATTTCAGCAGCCTCAGAGGCTCTCTGAGAAACCACACTTGAAATCCAGGAATGGTGCCAGGCAGGAAGTCCTAGGCAAGGGGGGATATTCTTTGCCGACCTAGGAACAAACTAAATTAAGAGAAACCAACTGGAAACGCAATCCTGGTGACACAGCAGAAACAGATAAGGTCTCAGTACAGAAGCCGGACCTTGTGCCACTGGAAACTGCGATTTAAATTTCCTGCAGCCGCTGTTGCGTCCCAGTAGGCCAGCGGGGAAAGAGGCGTGAAAGCTCGGAGAGTGGGAAGCGTTGAATGGAGTTGGGAGTGGGGCTGGCAGGGTGCCCTGCGTCGACCTGTGGTTAGTGAGTGGATCGGGACCCTTCCATAGAGAAGAAGGCTTCAGCGGAGGACATACTCAGACCGGGCAGACTTCCCAGAACGAGATGCTGCAGTGACTTCAGTCACATATCCCCCTCTCAAGCGGGATTGGTGGGGAGTGCCTGGCCTGTGAGACGCCGATGGCTAAGACCCAGGAGGCTAGCCCAAACCAGGTCCCAGCACCTGGATGTGCACCCTAGTGGTGAAGCCTTCAGTAGGTTGACCTGGAGGGGCAGGCCCAGCATAGGCAGCCCAGGTCTGTGTCTTCCTGGTGCACCGTGGTGGGTGGGAACACCTAGCCAGCACAATTCAAACAGACTGTGGCCGACAGGGAAGGAAGCTGGGCCTCCTATATACGCTTATATATAAGGAACAAAGAATATGGGAAGAGGGAGCAACAAGAAAGGGTCCTCATCCCCCAAACCTGAGAAACATGCAATAGCAGACACAGCACCAATAGACATAAACGCTATCTCCAGAGCCTCATAGATGAGTTCAGAAATGAAGTTATTAACGACCTGAAGTAAGACATAAGCAGAATAGTTAGTGAAATGCTAAGCACCGCCCAAGAAAAAACAGATGGTGGAATGGAAGAACAGAAAAAAAGGGGAGAATTGTTTGATGGAGAAAATAGAGAAAGCATAGAATATGTGAAGCAGGTTCAAGGAGATTAACAGGAAACTAAAAACTCTATCGAAAACTGGCATACCAGCTTGAAAGAAACTAAGGATAGATTATCTGAACTGGAGGGCAGATTTGTAATATGGGAGCATGAAATGAAAAACTTCTTAAGAATAACACACACAAAAAAAACACCAAACAGCAACAATACAAAAGCTAGAAGATGATAAGAGGGTCTATAACTTAAGAATTAAGAACATAAGAGAAGAAGTGGGGACACAAACAAATGGACTACAAAAGCTATTCACAGAAACAATCCAAGAGAATTTCCCTAATTTAGCAAATGGTAAAGATACTCAGATATATGAGGCATACAGGACTCCAGCCACCTACAACCCAAACAGAGCTACACTCAGGCATATAATAATCAAAATTCCAGAAATCCAATGTAAGAACAGAATATTAAAAGCCGTCAGAGACAAGAAACAGATCACTTACAAGGGAACACCCATCAGAATCACAGCAGACTTCTCAGCACAAACCATCAAATCACGAAGAGCGTGGGGGGAAATAATTCAAGCTTTGAAAGATAATAACCTCCAGCCAAGATTGATATATCCTGCACAACTGTCCCTAGAAATTGATGGAAAAAACAAGGTACTTCCAGGATAAAGAGGAACTAGGGGAATTTGCAACCACTAATTCAACTCTATGGAGAATACTGCAGGATAGTCTAAAAAAGGAAAATACCAAGATTCCAGAAATAGTGGCAGAGAGACTACAATGAATGGAGCAGAAAGCGAAATGAGGAAGACAAACTGACAACAAACGACAGAAAAAGAGCTCAACAGAAATGAGGCAGAGAAGATCAGAAGGTAGAAACAGCTATTTTGGAGAAAACAAGACATCATAATAGCTAGTGCTGATTTAGTATCATCTTGTTTTGAAGTCCCATCAAACTTGTATTCTTCTGTCTCCATCGGTCTTAAAGGTTGTATCTTATTGGATTTTATTATATATGATAATATAAGCAAAAACTTTTATAGACAAGGAGTTCATATAGAAACCATTGTTCATTTTCTGTTAATTGGTTCTAAATACCCTGTAATAATGTTATTCTCTTGAATGGTTTTATAGTGTCTTGATATGTTTGGTGCTACAGTATATGAAGTTATACTCAAAGATTTCAAGGAAAAAGACACTATGGTAACTATTTTTATGTCAGGATATCTTGTGGTGAAACACTATTTTGCTCAAATGGTTATGATTTGACCTGTGCTGTTCTGTTGTTATGCCCTCTTTTATCTCAATCCCCTTTTTAAAATTTTTTTTTCTTATTTTTCTAATTAAGGGAAAAATAAATAAAAAATAGCAGGATACATTATAGTAACCTACTTTGATTTCCTATTAACTTGATTTGAAATCCTGTATTGCCCTTACCATCTTGTTTTGACTGATTTTCCTCTATTCTGCTTTGCTTGATAGTATCAAGTTCGAAAGTATAGGCATAACTGTGAAGACAGTAAGAATCATTATGATGCCCATTCCGGTTGACTATTATTTTCTTTTAAAATCCTGTAATGTCCCCAATGCTTTGGTTTTATTTTTTACTGTTTAGTTCAATTTTACTATAACTGCCAATTCTTCTTAAAATAGCAAGAGGCAGTACAGCAATCATTGTTGATCACCTTATATTTTGTTTTTACATTATTTATTATGTCCATCCTTTTGATTTGACTGACTCTGTTCTGATATGTAGCATTTGGTTTTACTCTCTTCAAAAAAAGTAGTAAGAACTGTGGGAGTAATAAAACCCAAAATGTGTAACTGTCATTGTACAAAAGAAAAGAAAAGAAAGTGCTCTAAAGGTTATAACTGCATATATGTTTAAATGTATAAGATAGATAACCATATTACTGAGTGTTTTTTTGATCATTGAACAAAACTGTTCGCACTCTCACTGTTTGAAAGTCCACTTTATATGCTTTAATTTTGTAACTTGAACAACTATTTCTAAGATGAGAATATGTAATCTATTAACTAGTGATTTCTTACTGTTTATTTTTTAAATTTTGTATTACTTGTACCCTTTGTCTGTTTTTTGCTTTTTCTCCTTAAATAATTAAAAAAAGAAAAAGGCTCCAAGAAATCATAGAGTTGAGAGTAATAATGGGAATGCCATTAAATGCAGGCAAAGGGACTATAGATCTAGTGCTGATCTGCTCAGAACTCTCAGGCAAACACTCAAAAGCCATGACCTCCCTGGCCCATGTTACAGGTAAAAGTCACACTTCCAGTAGCCACTACGGTTGGAATGAGTCAGGAGCATGAATAGGAACATACTGGTGCTGTTTTGGTTTGGATCTTAAATGTCCCCCCAAAGTTCATGGTTAAAGTCTTGGTCTTGAGCTGATGGTGTTATAGGGTGGCAGTGGAAAATTAGGAACTGGAGCCTTCTAAAAGGAAGTTAAGTCACTGGGGGTGTGTCCTAGTCACTTTCTCATCACTGGGACACAACATTCAACACCCATAACTTTAAAAAGGATAGGTTCATTTTGGCTCATCGTTTGTAGAAGTTTCAGTCCATAGTCAGCTGGCTCCAAGACAGGATGGCATGGCAGAGGAGAGCTGTTCACGGCAAGGTGGACAGAAAGCAGAGACAGTCAAAGGAGGAACTATGAAGAGAAGAAAATCTTTCTAGGCTACACCTCCAGGCACCTGCCTTTTTAACCAGACCCTATCTTCTAATAGCAAGTCAGCTATAAGCCCCTCAAACCCAATCACCTTCGAAAAGCCCTATGAGTATGTGAGGCTTTTGGGGAACATCTAGATATAAACTACAACAGGGTGTGCTCCTGAATAGGACACTGGGAGCCCTGGACTCTCCTATCTCTTCTTACTTTCTAGCTGCATGAAGTGTGCAGCTTTACTACCACCCCATCCTGATGCTCTATCTTGCTAAAGGCCCATAATGATAGCACCAAGAAACCATGAACTAAAACTTTTAAAACTGAGTCAAAATAAATCTTTTTGCTTTTTAAGTTGTTTTTCCTCAGGTATTGTGTCATAGCAAATAGAAAC